TATGACTCAGACCTGATTTTATCAATTATTGTTCATTCTGAGATTTAACTTAATGTTAACGCAGCACCTCCCTTCCCTTCCACCACATATTATTCAATTTAGATGAAAGAGCAGATNATCATTGAAATCATAATTAAAATGATTAAGCAAAAGTTGGCAAATCTATTCAGCTTTGTTTTAAAGACTGTTAAATAAACGTCTTTCCAAATATATTTTCAGTTCTTTTTCTCTGCCACCGTGGATCCGTCTGTTGGTGAATACGCTGTAGCAGTAAATTGGTATGAAGTTAAGTTCTCTAGAAGGTGTGAAGTCGAATAGGTGTATACTCAATTCATATTTGGTGTGCATATACAGCAAACTGTATCAAATAAATTACTTATGAACCAAATGTCTGTTTAGTATGTAATATCTTTTTATTCATCTTTCTTAACAATAGGACATATCGTGTTATAAATAGAAAGGAATTATATATTTTTTTTTCTTTTGGTAGTTAGCTGTATCAGAAATATTTAAAACAAATAAAATTTTTACAGTATTTAAGAAAGTGACCATTTATCCAACTAGCCTTTCATAAATTTCTACAATTCTTTCTATTAGTAAATTCTTTTAATTCTAAATAATTAAAATATTATTCGCTACCGGTAGAAAAATTATTTTTGGATAGTACGGAAATTCCGTATCAGTTCACCATGTTATCGTTTTCTTTCTTAACGATGTGATTTTAATATTACTATACTAACTCTTTCAATTATTATGGTCATATGTTTATCCCAAAGTGCAAATTGTTTTATGCTTGATACACAGCCTGTGCTATGATTTCCTTACTTGACAATGAAGATCTCATCCACTTTTTCTTCTGATTGCAACTTAATCTTTTAAAAATTCATGACTTCTCAATATATGACATGAAAGCTTTGAATGAATCGGTCTGTGGCGCTTCGCGCAAAATGCCGACATATCACCCATTCTCAGCATCCCAGATTGATTTAAATGATTTATATATGATTTAAATTTTAATCAGGTTTACAAATCTGATTTATTATAATTTGATTATCTTTGCAAATTTATATAAAAAAAATTCCAACAATCTATATAAATATTTCTCTTACACGGCGACAAAAAAAATCCTCATTTTTCAACTCCCCGAATGGCAACGCTAGAAAATCGACCAATGATTGCCGCTAAAAATGCCACATGCCAAATCTAGCTGAGATGGCTCAACATATAGCGCTTTTAAAAACGGAAACTGAAATAACCAGAGAGAGCATAAGCTAGGCAGAAGTGAGTAGTCTTTGTCGATAGATCTCCATTTTAGTATTTTGTCGAAAGCGCTTTTTTTCACGATCTATTCCGAATTTATGTATTACGAATTTATTTGACGATTTTTGATTTATATTACAAATTTATTTGTTTCACTAGAATTTATTTGTTTAGGCAGGTTTTTCCATTGCAATTCACTTATTTCAATTTTTAACAGACTTAATTATAGCCAAAATTTTAACCTTTTTAAAGCTATATCAGTTTTAGAAATTTTATCTTAAGATTTTATACTATAGCACATTTCTAATAGGTTTAACGAATTGCATGTCCCTTATTTGAATTCAAATGTATTTAATGACTTAGTATTTACTAAAAAGATGTAATTTTTTTTTTTACAAAAAGAAGTTGCTATATGGATTTGAATGATTGTTTTGAATTCTTAGAATTTTGCGGATTTGCAATGTACCTAAGTTAGTAGCGAGCGAAGCGAGCTTGGATTGCGAAGCAAACCATATAAGATTGCGTAGCAATTTTCGGGGGTTGGCGAGCGTTTGCGAGCAGAGGGCGCAGCCCACTAGTATTTATTAATACCCGAGCTAAATTTGGATTGACCAAAATGAGGAGGTAGTTAATAACTCTAATGAAATTATTCCATTTTTTTATGATGGATAAGTTTTTATGACTGAAAATTATAGTAAATACATATTGTACACAGCGCTTGTGATGAATCGTTAGTCCACTGACGTATCAAAATAATTGCTTTATTTAGGTAACAATAACGATTATAACATTAAACAAAAGAAAATAGTTAGGATCATACGCCTATGATAGAAAATTCATCTTTGAATATGATAGAAATTTTTTTTGTAAATTAGTGACTGTTGAACTGGGGGGGTTGAAATCCCACTGCCTCCCGTCATAACGCCAAGAATTTGAAAATAAATGTGGATTTAAAAATAATTATTCCCAACGGATGGTTAGGAGCATGGGAAGAGATTCATAATTGACGATTTATCAAGATATAGCATAGCAAAAAACAAAGTCAACCTCGCGTAATCAAGAATAAATTTTTAATAATTTGGCTATAGCTTAATGATCAAAGAGATCGTGAGAATGGATATGCCCCTGTAACTGAAAATGTTTTGTATAAAAATAAAGTTACTTTAGGAATAAAGAGTTAAAACTTTGATGTTTGATTGAGTTGCGACAGGTAAATAATGAGTTATACGTGTCTATTGAATTAAATAGTTAACAGTTTTATTGATTGTTAAGAAGAGAATTAAATATTTATATTTGCTCTTTATAAAATGCAATAAAAATTGAAAAATTATTCTAATTTATTGAAATTAGATTTAGAATAATGAAAAAACATTATGAAATTAAAGAAATTTTAAAATCTAGGAAACATGTAATGCCTATTATTGCATCACAAATAACTTCTTATAAGTTTCAATGCGACTAATTTTAAAAATCATTCTGTAGGATTGTGATGTTTATATAAGTATGAGTTTAGAATTATTGTGGCATTAAAAAAGGAAAAACACTTAAACTACCTACGCTTATTTTGGCCCATCAAAATTTTGGAGGGGTAAAAAGGACACTATTTACACTATTTCTACATACTTCAAGCATGATCATTCAAATTGTGCTAAAAGTTTTGCCATGTTAAATCTTGCAGAACATTTGCAGCTGAAAGAAAAATTGTTTACATAGAGTTAGCATTAAAGTGTTCGTATTATTTTGTCACTCATCTGTATTAGAATATTTTCTCATTTATTAAATAGAAGAAATATTATTGAAAATGGCGGTAACTTATTAAATTATATATTTATAGCTGTCAACTAGTCCTAATATTGTGGTTCAATTGGTTATCTGGTTCGCGATTACAATAAAATTTTGGTTTGAGCCGCGATGGCTCAGGGGATAGAGCGTTCGCCTTCCAATGAGGTGAACCGGGTTCGAATCCCAGTCGATACGAATTCCGCATCCGGCTTGCATCGACCACAGTGCTGACGTGAAATATTCTCCGTGATAAACGGATCATGGGTTAGAGTCCTCTTGCCGTCAGGCTAACCGGGGGAGGTTCTCGTGATCTTTTTCTCCATGTAACGCATCTGCGGGTTAGTTCCATCAAAAGTCCTCCACGAAGGCAAATTTCTCACAATACTCGATCCAGGAGTTCCCTTGTCTTCTGGATTGGGTTCAAAATTACAAGGCTACGGAGCTGAACATTAGTAGTCGCAAAAGCATAAAATTTGGTAAGGCTGTTCAACGACGGTTATATATTTAAAAAAAATTGTTTCTTCAAAAAAGTGTAACCATGAACAGTTTTAATGTAGTAATACTCGTGAAAAGTCACAATACTATTGTATTTTTGACTTAAAACAATGATGTGATTGCAAAATTTAGCCCCTTACTCGAAAAAAGTTTTGTGCTATTCTAACAAACAAAGGCAATAATAACAAATAAAAATTGCATTCAAAACAATTGTGAATTTACATTCTATATATTGAGTAGCTAAAATATTTTGTCGAAAATTGTTAACAACTGAAAATTCCAAAAAAAAAAAAAAAACCAAAAAAAATGAAAAGAGAGATTTCATGGCAGAAATACGTAGTTTTTGTGATGCTCACTTTTTAGAGGGTAAATCTCTTTACTCTTCAATTATTTGTGCTTTAATGCAGTTTCTGCAATGATTTCTGTTATCAAATATTGCGACGCATTAAAAACAGGATTAATTTATTAAAGAGCTAGACGAGCTTGATTCGCAAAGCGAATCATATGAAATTAAGATTTTCTCTTTGAGGTTTGGCGAGCATTAGCGAGTAGGAGATCGAGTCTACTAGTATAACTATATTTTAATTTGAACTAAGAAAAGTATTGATTAACATTGCAAGTTGTTGATTTAGTTAAGAACACATGCTCAAACGCTTTTTATATTTCGTAAAGGTACTTTTATCACTAATGCAGAGTGTTGCGTTTACTCAACATCAGAATGGAATGGGTTAACAAAACTGATAATTTTGCTGTCCAATTTTTCTTCTTCATTAATTTTCTCTTAATAATTTATTGTCTCTTGTCTTAGTTAAAACAAGCCGAAAGAACAAAATTAATATCTGTAACACAGACAGGGGCCGTTGAAATATTACTTTTATTACGTAAAAATCAATAAAATATTACGCTTGCATTTGCCAATTTTGTAAATTCTCTTGTCAACAAAAATAAGCAAATCACGAACTCCTGTCTCATGCTTACGTAAATGCATTGTGACAGCACCTCTCCTGTTTATTTGTTTAATTTTAACTTTTTATGCAGTAATTTAATTTGATTAAAGGATTTAACTTTGCAGAAAACAAAATTTAAGTTTTAATTATTTTTTAAAAATAAATAAGAAGAAACTTTTCAGTAGACGGTTAGGATTTTTTGTTTTCTTACTTTTTTTAACCTATATTTCAAACTTGAAATTTAACCAAAAATATTTTTTCCTTTTTTTGTGTACATAAAAACTGGAAAATCAGAGGGTTTTAATGTATTTTACAAGACCTTCAACCCCTCTTGTCAGCAAGGATAAGCAAATCACCGACACACTTTATTTGATGTTTACGTAATATTTGAACGTGCCCCAAAAGCGTTAAGCTGACAATTGTACAGCATATGACAGAAGAGTCCATAGTTGTGATTTCTGACATGTGTGATTTTTCTCATGAATTGCATAGCTATCAAAATAATTATCTCTTAAATGCTCGTACATAAATATGAGATTGATGTATATTATCTTCCTTCACTAACACCAGTGAAGGATTCATCGTTCGGAAAAAGGCTGGGGGAAAAGTAATTCATAATGGCATACTGTTGGGCCTTTATGTTTGTTGGTATTTTATATCAAAGTAAGTTCTTTTGTTATTTTAAAATTATTGATATAGCGTGTATGTAAAAATTAATCACTTTAATAAAGGTTAAAATAAATTTAAACTTTTGTTTCAGTTTTCATACTTAATTTTTCGATGTACAATGTTTTAATTTTGTTTCATCTTATATCTATGCCAAGCAGTTAGCCCATTAACTCGTCCGCAGTAACCGTGTTATTAAAAAGTTGTTCTTTTTTTCAAAAAAGTAAAAAGTGGTAGCTGATGTGATACATTATTAATATTCAATTTAAAGTAACACGATAGTTTAATCTACAATATATAAACAGTAAAAACATTCATATTAGAATCAAAGAACATCATATCTGGTCAAGCGTCTCCCCCGTCGAGCGCTCTGTTGCAGGTTCGAAACCCGAAGCAACCTTGAATTTAATTTTTGCTTATGTGCTAATACCCAGCCACAAAGAGTGTTCATACGTGAAAAAAAGTGTTAATACTTTTTTTTCATATCAAGTGATAGCTTCTATCTTTCATTTTAGATTTGATAGAAACAAAACCGTGCTTTGACTATAGCAAAATATTTTTATCATTAATATTTAGATTTCTAAATATTTCTGTTATTAATATTATTGTAAGCAGTTCAATCTCGTTTCTGCAAAATAAGGTTTAAAATGAAACACTTTATATACCACCATTTTGCTTTTTTAAAAAAGAAATTCGTCCTATTTTATTTGCTAATGGAGTACGCTATACTCTGTTGCAAGTTAAGAAAAAAAACCATTATTCTTATGAAGATTACCTGTTTGCATCTAAAGGTACGCCAAATGTATGCCAAGCACGAACGAATATCAAAATTGCCAACTCTTGAAACGACATAGCACGGCCTTCTTATTGCTTATAAAAAAATAGCATGATTAAAATTTCTGTCCGACAAGTTTAACTTTTAGAAGCTTTTATATGGTTTTGAAAGCATAATTATATAATTTGATAGCTAAATTAAACGGAATAGTATGCAGTCTTTTCTTAACTTGCAACGGAGTACAGCTTGAATATCGAACTAAAATTAAATTATTTAGTGCATTTTCAAAGCTGAAAATAAAGTAATACCTACAGATATCTATTTGATTAAAAATTACATGAGCTACCAATTATTATAATTACTTTCAAATAACAGCACATGATTATAAGATGGTTTATTCATTTATTTCTTTTTACATATGTGTTACAAAAATACCCGTAAAACGCAATTAAAATTCACTAAATAGCTAGGATCACAGCCTTCAGTTTTCTGAAGGTTGTTGAATTTTTAAAGAAAAAGTTCAACGTTTTAAAATTGTCAAAGAAAACTACTTCCCAATTAATTAACAATACGTTACTTTTGTTAAAACTTATTTGAATAAAATTTGCATCTACTTTATATTGTATAAAAAAGAAACTACAATTAGTTAAATTTTTACTTTTTATTTTTTGAAGTTTGTTCAATTTTTTAATTATTTCTGTGCTGTATAATTTTAATTTTGTATCACATTTCATAATTCCTAATAGGCAGTTTTTAGTAATAAAAAAAGCGCTTTTCAATTTTAATCCAACATACAATTACTAGTATAACATCCTGAAAAATCATTATTTTACCGGGTATTGGCCCGGATACTGGGAAATTTTCAAAATATCTACATGAAGGGATTTAGGAGATGTCACGAAATCGAAAAATAAAAAAATGCTTTTCTTTCTTTTTAACTTTTTGTACTATTTAATTTAACATTGCAACTACTCTGAAAAGGTTAAATAGCTTTAATATTTCCGATAGTACACTCGATTTCTTTAATGCATTATTTTATTTTTATAAGTGTCGCTGAACAGCCGACCCAATTTAGGGTTTGCGACTACTAATGTTTAACTTCGTAGCCTTGTAATTTTGAATCAATCTAGAAGACAAGGAAACTCCTGGATCAGTACCCCCAGAGATATGATTCGTTATGTGAACATGAAGGACTTTGTAACTCAACAGATTTAACGTACATCAGTCACCATTTGTTGCACTTCGGCCGGCAGCGATCGAACCCACGACCTCTTGGACATGGGCCCAATACCCTACCAACCAGGCAATCCCGGCCCCTTTCATGCATTATTGCAGTTCCAAAAGATCTGACGATTTCAATTGAAAAAGACCTGATAATTTCATTAAATATCTTATTATCAAGTATTAAAAATCTTTGCCCAATTTAACGAATCATTTTGTATTAATTCTTCTTTGCCTCTCTTTTGTCTGAGAAGGGGTGTTTTATGAATCAAAATCAATTCAAAGCAAGCTATTAAAACTATAAAAATATATCGCAAAGTTATTTTTCTTTTTGTTTATCGAAAACATTAGAGGAGAGTAAAAAAAGATATAGCTTAAATAAACGATAATTATTATGATAATCGTTTAACGATAATTATTATTATAATTACTATTATGTTTCATTTCTAAGGTACTTACTTAACTTTCAACGGATTGCCTGATTAATTTATTAAAAAAACAAAAAACACTTTTACATTATTGTATGAATGATATTAGAATGCTCATTTTATTATTATTTGAATTGATTCAATTTAAATTTATTATTTTCAGATGCTTGGGCCAATCCTATGGAAAACGAAGGTAAATACTACTTTCCCCGTTCTAAATTTATATTTTCATTCAATAATTCTTAAATACTTTCAAGTCAGAGAATTCTAAATTTTCATTATTTTACAGGTTTATTTGAAGGTGATATTGCTGGTATCGACCCTTATGCATTAACGGTAAGTAGTCTCTTTTTTAAATTTTTCATTTTTATTTATAAATTCTGCCTGTTTGCCACAAGAACCATCAGAGTTTGTCTGCTCTCATATATTTTTCTTCAAGACAATTAAAGTGAAATAAGGCGAAGTATTCGTCAATCGGAAAAGTAATCACATCTTGTCCAGTTAAACACAAAATACACACATTTATTAAAACAATATTTTAAGTATTTTGATAATTTTAAGCGTATATTAATGAACGCAAATAATGAATGATTAACTTAGATGGCATTGATGGCGTGAAAAAAAAGAGGCCTACAGATTACTATTTTTGATTAATTTTCACGCTGAAACCTATAAACTTATCACCATAATCAAAACTTTCCAGAGTTGTAGTTATGTATTGTAGAGTTATCTACAGCATATTACATTAAAGCATAAAACAAGTTGAAAACATTAAAAAACATAAAACAAGTTAAAAACATAAATAAACGTTAAAATATATTATCATTTACCGGCTAATAGGCTTTTTTAAAAAAAAAAATTTCTTGATATTTTGAAATTGGTATCGAGTATAAAACGAAACAATCTCATGAAAAGATAATTCGATGTTGAAACAAATAAATAGTTAAAATGAGCGTTAACATTCAAAAAATTACAGGGCATTCATTTTATTAATTAATTCTTTCAGATATTTTTATTTTAATTTAAGTCTCCCAATCTGATGAAATACATAAGACTTGGAAAAATCTTTTAAATTGTAAACTTATGTGGACGATTCTAGGAAAAACATTCTTTGTCAAATACAAGCAGTGGTAGCTGTGAAACACTTATATCTGTTACCATATGTTAAAGCATGGTATTTCGCTAGAATTATACAGGAAGTCTGAATAAATTAAAATTAAAGCAGATTAAAAATAAAATCGATAAGAAAATTAGACTACTGTTGCCTATAACAGATAAAAACTTTCCAATAAATACTTAAAATTCGCAGTAGTTTTCCTCTTCAGGCTATTCGCACCATTTCTGGGCATTGGTCGACGGTACAAAGAGGGAACAATTGCACTTCAAGGAACCACTTTAAGTTGATTTTTTTAAGTCCAATTATGGTAATTGAAGGGTCTTCCCCTTGCTTATAAGTAGATCTTTTTGACAATCATGAACCACCTCGATGATGACAACATTGTTGATCAAAAGGGGACTTGAGCTAAAAAAAGAAGGAAGGAAACTATGGTCTTTGTCTTCCGGTGGGGCTCTTACAGATTGCAATTTTGTCAAGGGAGATTCAAACCTATAACCAGATACTCAAAAATATCTCTAAAACTTACCAGCCTCCAAATGTCTTTAACCAGACACCCTCACCAACTCCAGGTTGGAGTTAAGGCCTGGTTTCTTGTTAATTTGCACCCAGTTGAAAAGGAACGAAGTGGCTTCATTAGGTGGACTTCGTTGAAGCAATAAAATTCTGGTTGTTTAACCGAATTAAGTTAAAGCAGTTAATAAACAGTTTTCTTATAGTTAACAGTTTGATTACCATCTTAATTATGTTTATTTGACTGTTTTGAATATGGTATTGTAATTTAACCCTCAATCGGGTCTTATTAAAAGAGAAATTAATTCACTAAATTTTATTCTGACTCAAGGCAGCTATCATTAGCACCTTTTATTTGTAACTCTCTTTATATTATAAAAATGAAAAATTGTTTTTAATTAGGCTAGTGTGACGCTTATCGTCACTCAAATTTAAAATCAAGAGAAAGGGCTAAGATTAGATTTGTAGAACATTTCAGAGCCTTCGATTAAATAAAACTACTGTGGGAAATCTCCATCGGCAAATAGTAAGTTAAATACGGATAAAGTAATTCAAATAAACGATTAGGTTTAAATCTTACAATGTCACCCCCATCATGTGATTGACCCATCACGGGACAAACTCGAAAACAACAATGACTTTTGAACTTGACCTTTCCTCAGATTTGTAACTTTTTATCACCCAAAAAATACGATATAAAAGCAGCCGAAGGAAAGGGTTGGGAGAGCAATCAAAAGCAATCAGCCTAAGTGACAAAAGGCCGAACCATGACTAAACTTGGTAAGTCTCTCTCCATCTATTCTAAAAAGCACGTAAGAATTAATGTATAAATAAGTTGAATTAATTGTATAT